TGGGAGAAACGTCATGGGTGCGTGGTGGGGAGAAGAATTTGAATGAAATCTTACGGCCATGACGTCAGGAGGAACAACTTTCCGCACACAATTCCTTTGTGGGCTTCTGGGTAAATCTCCAACCAACCGCACAAAATAGGTTTGCAAACAAGGACCACCTGATACGAATTTACTATCTTTATCTCTCCCTTTTATATCATCCTTTCTCGTCTCTCTTTTCATCGTCCATTTTTCTCTTTTCCGTTTCTTTTCTTTTTTTCTCTCTCTCTTTACATTGTCTGATTCTCTCTCTTTCGATTCTTTGCTTATTTCTCTATATCTCTCTTGACATCGCCCGTTTTTCTCTCTTTCAATTCTTTTCTTTAGATTGTCTTTTTCTTTCTTCTTTCTCCTCCTTCCTTTTTTATCTCTTTTACTCCTTTACATTTCTTCCTTTCTTTTCCCTTTTTATCTCTTTACACCATTTTCTTCTTTTTCCTCCCTCTTTTCTTTCCACTCTTTCTCTCTCTTTACGTCGTCTATTGTTTTCTCTTCCTCCTCACTTTTTTCTTCTCTCTCTTTACGTCAAACGGAAGTATGACGTAAAGAAAGCTATCAGTTTTTTTTTTCTCTATTTTTTTACTCTCACTTTTTCTCTATTTTTCTCTCTTTACATCATCTTTTCTCGCTTTCTTCTGCTTCTATTCCTCTCTCTATTTACGTCATAATTTTCTTTCTTTGGCTCCTTCCTTGTCTATTTTTCTCTCTTTGCATCATCCTTTTCTTTTCTTTCTTTCTTCCGCCCTTCTTCTCTCCCTGTCTCTCTTTCTCTCTCCACCCTCTGCTCGAGATTAATTTAGTTAAGCACCTTTTTCAGTCTCAGCACCTCTCTTTTTGCCTTTTGTCTTTCTTGCTCCTCCCGTCAGCCCCACTTTCTTGTCCATACGGCGTCTGTCCGTCCAGTCAACCATGCAACCTCTCTCTCTCTCTCTCTCTCTTTATCTCTCTCTCTCTCACACACACACGCACACACACACAATTTATTTAAACCTGTCTTTTTCTTTACATTGCTTCAATCTTTTCTTTGTCTGTCCAAGTTGTTGGGTTGAGCTAAAGATTTGCTTTCAGACTCCTTTGCCTTTTTGCTGTTCCGTCACACTCGTCCCATGTAAATCTGTCCGGTTTTAACGCATGCAACGCTAATTATATTGTCCTTCTTTACTAATTAACCTGTTTTTGTATCTTCGAGAAGTTTCCTTTTTCTTTCCTTTGTTTTCTTCCATTTCTTCTCAGTTCCTTTTTCCTTCTCCTCGGCTTTTTTTTCTTCCAGTTCCCTCCTTTTGTCGTCCTTTTAATTCTTGTTTTTTTTCTTTCTTTCTTATTTTAATTCTTCTTTTCAAATATGCGAGAGTTCTGAATTATCGAAGATGTATACTAGTACTAAATCTACATCACGAGGTACTGCTACGTTGAAAACTAAACAAAGTACAAATAATAATAATATAGGTTATGAGATACTCAGGACCCTTCCTAACTGGACAAGATATTCTGAGAAAACTGAATGAAAAAAAGACAAGGAAGTTGATGCTACACTATAAAGCCCGGGGTGGGGTATGTTGTCAGTTTGTATGCGAAAAAGAGTGATAAAGTCTGATGTAGATGGTGGTTATACAAGGCGCAGAAATGAAAGATTAACCCAGAAGCTGAAATAGAACTAATGGGAAGCAAATAAAGGAATGAGAAAAGTTCAAAAGCTAAAACTAAATTTGGCGGGAAAAACAGCTGTTCAGACATTTTACGAGACATGTCAAAGGAGTTGCAGGTTAAAAGAATTGATTCGGTCAAATTTGAAGAGGGAAACTGAATCCATATTAATGGCAAAACACAACAATTCTAAAAGAACTAATTATATTCATTCTACATTCGATAACTATAAATAATAATATTAAGCGAGTACAGGAAACTAGTTTAGAAAGAGTATGACGAATTGTGCGAGTGAAAAGAATTTGATTTTGAAAAGTGCAGAATAAAAATAATGTTATCTGTAATTTTGATGTTCAAACTGATCATCCAATCTATTTGAACGGACCATTGTCAACAAGAAATTGTTAGTTGGTATCGAAGTTCCAGGAGTCAACAGGAAAAAAAGTGAAAATGTATATTACACGCATTCACTAATAATTATTTTAATGTCGTACACATGACCATTCCCAGATTGTTATAAGAAAAAAGCAAAAAAAAAAAAAACTTGAACGTCCCCAGCAGATCGTTAGGTCACGAAACATGATTGAACCCCTCACTATAAACAACTGCCTTTATCTAAGATGACCTCCCCTCCAATCTCACTCTGTGTCGTAATTTATTTTTTTATCTCTCTACATCCCTCTTTTTCTCTCTGTTTTACTCTCTCTCACTCTCACTCTCTCTGTCTCTCTCTCTCTCTCACTCTCTCTGTTTTCCTTTCGGACTCTCAACACAGCCTGAGTTTAAAAGGATTTGTATTATTATTATTATTATTATT